CAGATTCAACCAACATAAAACATACAAATGTAGACACGCAAATTGAAAGAAACTGTAAACCACATATAACACAAAAAAATTGTATTATGCATAAAATGGAAGCATCAAACAGGGAAAAAAGCACTAAAAGTTAAAATATTTGATTTCTATATGGGTCCACATGGCCTTACAGAACACCACAGATCCAGAATGCGGAATATACATTTTCAAACACACAAGCATATTTGAATAATATGCGAGTTTTGCTCTCTTAACCCACTTAGTTTGCATGTAATTGGAGGTGTTAATGTATTAACTGTGAGTGCTGTACATACAGTATATGTGTGTGTGTGTGTGTGTGTGTGTGTGTGTGTGTGTGTGTGTGTGTGTGTCCTTGCATCTGTACTGTATGCCCGTGTGTCGTTGCCATGGCAGACCTGACTGCCAGACGTTTTTCGGACTCCAACTGTTTGTATTTTTGGCCACTGGAGTTTGTCGGGCAGCTGCTGTGTTTGTGTCATTCCACCTATTAGTTGAAAAACACCATGAGTGGTGGGATGACACTTACAAAACACAGGTTAATGATGTAATTACAGCCTTAACATCTGGCCCAGCTGTCCTAATAAATAGTCTTAACGCAGCCTAGAAAGAGCAGGCAGCACGTGAGAGGAATTATTAGTTTGATTATCTGATTTTGTTTATTCATCTATCAGTTAGGGGTTTGTGCTTTAACGTCTATGCCCGTCACCCACATCTGTCATGTGTGGATGCTTATTTGTGAGCATCTGCGCGTGTTTGTGTGTAACAAAACATTCATGTTCGTGCAAGTGAAGTGTGAAAAAACTCACACAGCTGGACTAACGCCCCACCAATAAAAGTAGCAGGATTAACTTCGTGGTGTTGGGTTACAAACCAATCAGGGGGCAGGATTAGTTGCTCAGGTACAGTTACTTGAGTACCTGTCCTTCTCAGCTTTCTGTGACAGAGGTCAAAATGTGGTCAAATGGTGACCACACACACACAACCGTCCTTCCTTTGGAACAGCATTTCTATGATGATGAGGAAGACTAAGAATTTGTAACCTTGTTTGGATTAATCCTTGTTGGTGTCAGAAAATAGTGATAGGCTTCATAATTTTGAGGCTGTAACCAGCATTTACATTTAGGCTACTCATTTGGCAGATGCTTTTATTCAAAGGGACTTACATTTGAGGACTAACAAGCATCAGTAAAGTAAGAGATCTGCAAGCGACAAAAGATACTAGTACGAGCAGCAATAAATACTAGTAAGAGCTAATAGCTAATAGCGCCTATGGCATCAACGGGGCAAAGAAGTGAGAGTTAACTAAATAGTGCAATCAATACAAAAAAATGTAAGAAGATAGAAGAAAAGCACAGGAAGTGCTAGGGGAGGTTAGGGGTTAGAGGTGTTATAAGAGGAAGTGTTCTTTGAAGAGATGAGTTTTCAAGAGCTTCTTGAAGTTAGAGAGGGACTTACGTTCATTATTGACTTAAAGGAATACTGTACTATAATACCATTCAAAATTTTGAATAATACACTTATGCTTTCTAGTAAAACTACAGACAATTAGCTTAGCATAAAGACTGGAAGCACACGTAACCACCCATAAAAACACAAATTTACATTTTGTACTGATTGAATGAGATATAACTAGCTTAATGAGTGATCTTGCAAGTGCTGGCAGGCAGATTTTGTTACCTTTGAACAGAGCCTGGCAAGCTGTTTCACCCTGTTTCCTGTCTTTATGCTAAGCTAAGCTAACAGTCTGGCTGTAGCTACATATTTAGCATACAGTCCTTTTTATATACTTTCTATGATACAGACAAGAGAGTGGTATCAATCTTCTCATCTAACTCTCAGAAAGAAAGCAAATTGTTGAATTTCAGATTATAGATTGATTATCGTAATTGTTGTTAATTACTTTTCTGGCAACCAAGTAACTAATTAACCGACTATCCAACACTCGATTAAACAACACTGAAACTTTATCATCAGGTTAGTATGTATTAAAAGCGCTGTCCTCCCACTCGCTCCACATCTTAATTGTCGTCCTTCTCGGTCTGCCACAGTTTTCCCCCCTCCTTCCTGTTTTTTGGGGTACCATTGTGCACCAAACTCTCCTGGAGCCCTGTAAGAGCACAAAAGCACAACAAAGACTCAGGAAGTGATTAGTAGCTTAACGAGGAGGAGGCTTTGCTGGGAGTTAGGGGGGCTGGACGGCCTCTTCCATGAGACAGGGTGAGGGGGTTAAAGTTTCAAGGCTTAAGAGGTCAGTGTTAAGTTGTGGAGGTCAGTGGAGAGGTTAATTAGGAGCCGGGCTTTTGTTTACAGGGGATAAGGAGACGCAGAGGCGATTCACTTCGTATCCTCGAGCCTCCTCCTCCCTTCGAATTGTCCTGTCGCTGAAAGGAGATGTAGCTAAATTAACTTAATTGTCACCATCACAACATACTCGTCACACCCTCATCACCACAACACGAGTATGTTTCCCTCGAGTATGTTTAGTGTGTCCTTCCTGCTTCAATTGGTACAATGTCTTTTCAACTTGGAGGAGCCCTAGCCATGACTGTGGCTCAGAGACTGTTGTGGGTGTTTGTCCAATGTTTCTGAGAGAAATATGCTGCGATTGTCTGTAGACTAAAACATCTCAAGAAGAGCCCGTTGATCTACTCGGTGTGAATGTGTGTTTGTGGGAAGAAGAACTTAACTGAGAGTGACACAGCTTTCTTGGCTGTTGCGAAATGCGTCTGCAAAAACCTTGTTGTAGATCACCTTTATTCAACTTTGTTTGTGAGTATGTCAGTAGGGTTGTGAGCTACTGTTGGTCTGGGGTGTTTGTTTTCTTCTGATTGTTCTTGAAAGAGTAGGCCATTCCACCAATTTGGCATTGCACTCCTGCAACATTATCGGACTCACAATGGACAGTAAAGATAAGGATCAAAATCGATGCAGCAGAACTAGAGACCACCAAAAACCTGGTGCCTGCATTACCCACACTGCAACTCGACCGTTTGGCTCCTTTAGTGTCCTTACACTGTGGCTGCCCGTGTTATAGCCTAGAAGTGATTTTAAGATCCTACTTATTAACTTTTCAAACACTTCATGGCCTGGCCTCAGATTGTATTTTTGAATTACCCTCTCTTTATCAATCTGCCCACAAACCTGTTAGCTGTTACTATTATAGTCTTAATAAACAGAAAGAGCGTTTTGTTATTTGGGCACCTCAACCTGCCTTACAAACTTACAAAATCAGTATTAAAATCTACTTAAAATGCTTTCTTACTATTTAATATTAAGAAATGTGTACATGTACAGTATATTTATATATGTATTGATGTGTATATACATCAATACGTGTGTATGTATAGTGTATATGCATAAATTGGTTTATTTGTCTTTTTTCCTGATTTTGTTGTAATTATTTTTGTTCTTAGCTTATTTGATTTGATCAAATAAAGGAAGGAGAGATTACCATGACAAGCTTGAACCCTGTGCATCATCTGGGGTGAAAAACTGGCACACAACTCATCACACCACCATGCAGGGACATCTGTCTATTGAGGTAATTGGCATTAACTTTTTCAGCGGGGTGACCCCCTTTTTCACGCCCAACACATCTCACACATCACATCTGCACAGGAGCTCACATTGGTAAGAGTGTTTGTGACAAAATAGAATGAGATGGTGCACAATAAAGTGCGTGTTTTGGAGGATGCTTTTTTGTTTGCTGAGCCCCAAAATCTCCACTTTATATTCATATTTCACACACACACACACACACACACACACACACACACACACACACACACACACACACACACCCTAAGTCTGCATGAAGGGTGCCACGCGTTGAAGCATATGGCTCAGGGCAACCAAAATGTGTTAATACTGATTGAAAATGCTGCTCTATTAGACTAATGTTAGCAGGCTGTATAGGACCAATGCTAATCCAAGGTAACAGAATGGAGCTGGAGCGCAGTTTATCTCTGAACTTATGGATATTAGAGAATAGAAAAGTGATTAGAAAGTGATTAGAGTGGCGGGAGACCACTTAGAGAAACATACGCTTTCAGGTCTGGGTGAGATTTCCAATCACACCGTCCACATTACTGCAATTAATGCGAACAGCTTACCGGCAGGAGGACCAGAGAGGTTGTGAGATTTAGTTAATAGCAGACAGTGATGTCAGTTCAGTTTTGTTTCAGTGGTTTTCCTCTTGTATCTCTTTTTTTTTCAATGAAACATCTTTAGAATCAATCTGTTTCCTCTGCTTAAGGGGTCTTCTGGTCTTCTTGTCACTTTGGTTATTATTATTTTTTATTAGCAGTTATTCTGTTAGCTTTTATATGTCAAAAGTCATAATTACCTTGGGAAAACAGGAGATGAAACTGACACCAGTGTAGGCCTACATAATAATGATAATAACAATAATGATGATAAATTATCATAAACTTTATTTATACAGCTCAAAGTTACAAAGCGCTTTATATGCTTGAACAAGGATTACAACATTTCAAGACTGCAATGAGGCAAATAAAATCAGACAATTAAAAATAATTCTGAAATAAAACGGAATAAAATAACCAACAATAAAAAAGCTTTTGTCTGCATCAAACATCTTACAAAAAGTAATTTACATCACATTGATGTAAAAGAAATAAGGTTTTTATTTAAAATGATGATGATGAAATGATTTTTTTTAAAGTTTGGACCCACTTTTTCCTTTATGATTCAGCAGAGGCTCCGTTTAATGTTTCTCTATCTATCTGGAGTCGTCTTGATCACACAAAACTATACAGATCTAAAATAAAACTGTAATGCAATTTGTTTGTTTCTTTATGATTCCATCTCTGGTCAGCTTGTACTGATTTGAATTTACTGCCTGTTTTGTCTTCATCAGTTCCACTCATGTGAATCTGCTTCAGAGCTGAGTAAGTTTATTTCTTTTTCGAACTGTATTTCCTGTTTTATGAAATTGTTCACAGAAGAAAGGCAGTTCAGAAGGGACTTTATGTGTCCTGCTTGTGCTTAAAAGGAGAGTCCTCTAAATCCTCTGTGTTTGATTGACAGCGCTGCTATGACAACCACCATCAGCTCCCGGGTGTCCAATGAGGAGTCATATTTAGGGTCCCTCCCTGACTCCCAGGTGAGCTAAAGAGTCAGACTTCAACAGATTTCTGTCAGACTGTTTCCGAGAGACGCTGTCTATTCTTTGGCTTCACTCTGTCATCCAGATGGTGTTCAGATCGCCGCTCGAGTTTTTCTCAGCCTCCCGTATCCTCCTGCCCAACTTCGCAGATGGGCCCCCTGTTCTGGCCCGCTCCCGGTCCCCGGAGGAACCTCCCTCCGCCTGTCCTCCTCTGGCTCTCCCGGGATTGTGTTTCTCTGCGGCGCAGATCGCCAGCGTCTGCGAAACTCTGGAGGAGACCGGAGACATCGAGCGGCTGGCCCGTTTCCTCTGGTCCCTCCCGGTGACCGCAGACGGCCGCGACTCCATCTCTGAGCATGAGTCTGTGCAGCGGGCTCGCGCCGTTGTGGCATACCACACAGGGAGTTTCCGCGAGCTTTATCAAATCCTGGAGACTCACCGCTTTACGCGGACCTCGCACGGTAAACTGCAAGCGATGTGGCTGGAAGCTCACTACCGGGAGGCAGAGAAGCTCCGGGGTCGACCGCTCGGACCGGTTGACAAGTACCGCGTGAGGAAGAAGTTCCCGTTACCAAGGACTATCTGGGATGGAGAGCAGAAGACGCACTGCTTCAAAGAGCGCACAAGGGGACTCCTAAGAGAATGGTACCTGCAGGACCCATACCCGAATCCCGGGAAGAAGCGGGAGCTGGCGCACGCAACCGGACTCACACCGACTCAAGTTGGGAACTGGTTCAAAAACCGGAGACAGAGAGACCGGGCGGCAGCAGCCAAAAACAGGTCAGTGACTTTGACTTTAAATAAATGGGAACTTATAGCAGCAGAAAGAAACATGCACATAAATACTATTAAAGTCTCCTTATTGTCACCCACTTAAACTTTCAGTGACTCGTTGAGGTAATTTCGTCTCCACAGGCGGCCAAGGTTGTGCGTAAAACGGCCATTCATGCGTAGAAGCGCGCGGCCATTCAGCGTGTAGGTTTTTTTGTTTTCCTTCTGTCAGTCTTAGGTGCTCGATTTTCCTTCCCCTCTATCTCACACTATAATTTGCTTCAGGGTCAGTGTGCAGGTCAGCCATTCTGTTTACTGAGGCAAAACGTGCATGAATTGGTGCAAATTGCTTGCCGCTCACGCACTGGAAATGATTGGTTGTTATGCTTTGACAATGGTTTTACTTCGAAGATTTAGACCAATTTGAAGCATTTATGTTCATTTTTTTTTTTTTACAGGAACAAAACAAATATAACAAGGTTTTGTTTTTAAACTTGTATTTTATATCCAAATTTGGATTCAAACTGTCGGACGTTTAACGTCTCTTCGTTTTCTCTCTTCATTTTCAGGTTGCAGCACCACCGGATGTGTCCAGGCGGTGTGCGTTCACTTAGTGGAGGAGAGTGCAGTCCAGACGAAAGCGGAGAGCGCGCAGATGGAGAAACTCTTCTCTCAGTAACGGACAGTGACTCTGACCTGGATGTCTGAGACTTTTTAAATTAATGAAATGAACCTTCGGGGGCCTGTGATGCTCCGTCGTGGATTTACCGCAGAGAGGAGGATGATAAAGGATGGCAAAAGGCTGGTCAGCGTTTGGGTTGCAATGAAGTTCACGGCATAAAACAACTTAATCCTAAATATAACCCCAGCCTCCAAACAGATGATTTGGTCTTTTTCTTTTGTTTCCTGAGAATATGAATGATTTTTTGTCTTTGCTGCTGGTTCACTGATCAGATCAGATATTTTTATTTTTAACAACATCACTGGATGGTGACGGTGCACATCTGATCACCCAGCTTGCACCATCAGCCTCATTAAACGTGTAGGCCTACTCCTTGTTGTACTCCTTTTGTACCCAGGGACCCCCACATGGGAGAACCTTTACAGACTGAAACCTGTCAGTGAGATAATCTTTCTTATTTTCTCTAATTATGTGTCATTATTTTTTTTTTTTAAATGAAACTAGTTGTTTCTTTAGACCCCTGGATGTCCAATGCTGTAGACAATCAACACGCACTGAAGCCTACCTCCCTGTCTGTTTGTATGTTTATGAACCTTTTTTTGTTTCTTTACCTTCACTTCTACTTTATTTAAAGTTGCAGTCTATGTGTGATGAGACGTTGTCATTTATGTTCAGTTTGATGCTGAATAAATGTTTTGATATTTTATATAAATAAAATTATTTAATATAAGACTGTTGTTCCAACTCTTCACTCATGACACCACATTAAGGACAGGTCTGTGTGTGTTTGTGTGTGTGTTTGGTGTCAGTATTGAGCTTATAATGACATTATTGTTCATAGTGTTTATTCATCACTTGTTGTATTGGCAGTAGTGAAAAGAACATTTACACTTAAGTACAATTCTGAGGTATTTTACTTTGCTTAAGTGTTTCCATTTTCTGCAATTTTGTACTTTCTCCACCACAATTCAGATGCAAATATGAATACTTTTTACTTCACCACATAAATTTTATAATTGAAGTTACTCATTACTTTCCAGATTCAGATGAATTAGCCTAGGCTTATATAAAATATAATATACAAATTATTAGCTGCAAATTTAAAGTGATAAACACATTAATGAATCGCTAATTATTAATATAATAATTTATAATACATTATTCTGAAATGGGCCATTCTGCACGATGAGTACTTTTGGTACTTTAAGTACATTTAGTCTCTCCATTTCTGTCAGCTGCTGACCTGCAGCGGGTGACAGAGGTTTCTGCAGGGCTACAGCACAACTCAACCGTGTGGCGTCATCCAGTGGTCAAAGGAGACAGCGCGCCCTTGTTATTCGAATAACTCAACAAATTCATTGCGCATTTCGGTTTATAGTATGTCAGTTGTGTAATTTCACTTAAGTAACATTTTAAGCAAAGCTGGTAATGGAGTGTACATTATAGTATTTATACTTTTACTTAGGCCTAAGTGAAGGAGTGCTTTTTCCCACCACTGATATTTAAAAGACATTTTATTTGTTGATTTATATTTTGTATTATTTATCTGAATCTATTAGTAAGTAAAGCTTTAAAATCAATGTGGTGGAGTAAAAAGTACAATATTTGTCTCCAAAATGTAGTGCAGTGGAAGTAGCCTAAAAGTTAGAAATACTCAAATAAAATACAAGCACTTCAAAGTTGTATTTAAATAGCCTACTGTTCTTTTACTAAATTTACTAATAATCCAATAATATAATGCCACACTAACAGCGATAATTCTGCTACAAAATGAGTAGGCTTAGTACTTTTACTTTTGATACTTAATACTTAACACTTTACTTGCAGCGGAGGTAGCCTGTTTCTACATTTACTTATTTCAAAAAATCTAAAGACTTCTTCCACTAGTGCAGAAATGCGTTGATCACCTTCGAAACATTAATAAACGAGGAGCACTTGAACACAGTCTCTTACAACGTCACGTCCTGGAAGCGTCACCATCCCAGTGATACGTCCCTCAAGCCAGCAGGTGGCGCAGCTGACCAGGATTGACTCTCAGGTTGGCGCTGTGATTTACAATTATGATGCACAAATGGATTATATCTCTTCTTCTGTTTGTCAATTCAAGTAAGTGTCCTTAAAAACAAATTAATTAAGTGAGAACAAAACAAATCTGAGTTGTAATCAATCTTCAAGTCAATTTTTGAGAGGGCACATGGACATATTTTTGTGTGTAATCATGTGTGTCATAGATGTTTTAAACCTGCATGAAGAGTTGTTCTTATCACTAGATTTACTGTAAGTTAGAGCTGGGCGATATGGCCAAAAATGTTATCACAATCAAAAAATTCTCATCATTTGATATTGATAATTAGCACGATAAATGTCCAATAAATCCCGGACATCCTCAGCACCAAACTCACCCATCTCACTGTGCCAGCCTCCACCTGCCAGTGGATCACAAACTTCCTGGCTGACAGGAGTCAGCAGGTGAGACTGGGGAACATCACATCCAGCACTCGGACTATTAGCACTGGCGCCCCCCAGGGGTGTGTGCTCTCCCCACTGCTCTTCTCCCTCTACACCAACGACTGCACCTCAGGGGACCCATCTGTCAAACTCCTGAAGTTCGCTGATGACACAACGGTCATCGGCCTCATCCGGGGCGGTGATGAGTTGGCCTACAGACGGGAGGTTGATCAGCTGGCTCTCTGGTGCGGTCAGAACAACCTGGAGCTTAACACGCTCAAAACTGTGGAGATGACCGTGGACTTCAGGAGGAGCCCCCCCACTCTGCCCCCATCACCGTACTCAACAGCCCTGTGTCTGCTGTGGAATCCTTCAGGTTTCTGGGATCCACTATTTCCCAGGACCTGAAGTGGGAGCCCAACACTGACACGATCATCAAGAAGGCCCAGCAGAGGACAGACTTCCTGCGCCAGCTCAGGAAGCTCAACCTTTACACAGCCATCATCCTGTCTGTTCTCTGCACCTCCATCACTTTCTGGTTTGGATCTGCCACCAAAAAGGACAGACTAAAACGGACAGTCAGGAGTGCAGAAAAGATCATCGGTGCAAACCTGCCCTCCATTCAGGACTTATACATTTCCAGAGTCATGAAACGGGCAGGAAACATCACTGCAGATCCATCTCAACCCGGACACAATCTGTTCCAGCTTCTCCCCTCTGGTAGGCGCTGCAGAGCACTGTACGCCAAAACCAACAGACTTAGGAACAGTTTCTTCCCACAAGCCATCACTCTGATGAACAGCTGATTTCTGACTCAGGTGTCAGGAACAATTCTTGTGCAATAACCCAGTAACTCTGGCTCTAATCAGCCACCTGTTTACTGGTTACCACTTATTCACCATTCTCTATTACTGATCTATTCTACTATATCAGTGCTGTTCTGTTATATTGTCATATAGTAGATACTGTATACCAAATCCTCAAGTCATTACTCCTGCACAAAATACTTATACTTATTTATTCCAGCATCCTTTGCACTATGCTTCATTGCACTGTGTACATGTGTACCTGCATGCATGTATGTGTACCTGTATATCACATCCACCTCTGACATGTACATACTCCTGCATCCTTTGCACTCTGCTCACTGTCAATATGTCTATATTGTTTTTGTTCATAGTGTGTATATTTGTGTTATCTACACTGAAGTCTGTGTCTGATTTTATTTTATTTTTAGTGTTGTGATTTTGTATTTTTGCATGAGCACATCGTGAGCAATGTACAATCCAGAGTCAAATTCCTCGTATGTGTAAACATACCTGGCAATAAAGCTGATTCTGATTCTAAATATTTCTTTTAAGTTTAAAGGCAGATTTTTGCTCTTGAGTGAAAGTTGAAGAAACCAGTTTAACTGTAGTTTTAAACTGTCCTTTATGGTAAGAACATGACAAAATACTTGATGCCAAACAGTGGATCACTTAACAAATCTGAGGTAGAACATTCAAAACAACTATTATAAAATCGTTATTCAACAAATATGCATGAGTAAAATAAAGTAATATCTTGTTTCAGTCCCCTTTCCTCCACAAAATAAAATTCTTGAAAGAAAAATTAGATGCTATAACATTTATTATATTGTTAATGAGGAAAGTAATATTGTGCTATTGATCATTTTTGTTTTATGGCCTAGCCCTACTGTAAGTGAGCAGGAAGTTTTCCCCCCCTTAAAGCTGAATGCTTCTAGTTTTGGCTGTGTGTATCCATCGCATGCATTATTCCTTACTAAGAACTTGCAGTTGAACTAACAGTGACATGACCCTAACAGCCAGGTGTGGGCATATCCTATTCAAAATCTGCAGGCCAAAATGTGTTAATGGGAACACACAGTAAATGTAATTTAACAGTAATTTTAGGTTAACACAGTTAACAGTGTAAGGCTTGAGTATAATGCTCTGTTAATACCTGTTGTTGTCATGCCTTCTCTTTGTAAAAAATTTTCTTCTTCTTTTTATATTGAACATTTTGTTTTTGTTGTTTCTTTGAATACTTGAAATAAACTACTCCTGCTATCAAACTTGAATGTATTAAGATAAAAGAAGGTAAAAGAAAATCTAGTAAATTAACAAAAGATATGAAAAGAAAGAACAAATCACAAGCACAATCAGGGTAAATACATAATAAATGTATGTTTTAAGAGGAGTTTTTCAAGATGCTGTGTATTAGTAATTGGAGATACTGTATATTGAATATTAGTCATGCAGGTTTATTTATTTCAATTTGCATTAGATGTCAAAAGCGCAACAGCTACTCCTCCTGGAGTTGGCAAAAAATAACAACAACAAAACAGCAGTTACATGCAAATATATGCAAACACATGGACTACAGCAATACACATACAGTACACAGATGAAATAAAACAGAGTACAGTACTAGTTGGAACATTTTAGTTACATAATCAAGATTACTGCAGCATACACATTACAATAAATTGGCAAGATGCTGCTTAGATTAGTATAGAAATGTACTTGACAATAAATATCGAAATCAGAATCAGCTTTATTGCCAGGTATGTGTACACATTCGAGGAATTTGACTTAGGATTGTACATTGCTCATGATGTGTTTACTCATACAAAAATACCATAACACAATAATAAAATAATAATAAAATAAAATCAGACACAAACTACAGTATAGACAACACTAATATACACACTATGAACAAAACAATATAGACATATTGACAAATAGTGCAGTGATCAGAGTGCAAAGGATGCAAGAGTAAGAGTAAACTATATATATATACAGTACAAACAGGTTTTTCTAGAGATGTAATAATATAGGGATGCAAGGTATCTTATTACTACAAAGATTAACACAGAGATAAAGAACCTTGTAAATATAGGCTATAGACAGATGACGTACACAGGTGAAATATTTTCCCCTCAAACTCACACAGTATGGGCTTCTTAATGTTACAGTAAAACTCACTGATGAGCAAAACAACCATAACACCTCTGTTTTATTCTTATAGGAGCTGGTGATGTAAATGTAGCCTACTCAGGAGAAATATATAGAGACCCTAATATTTTAAGATAAGATACCAGCAACTGGTAATGTCTTTATAACATTTGTTCTGTACCTGCAGATTCTCTTCTTCTGTATTTGTGTAGGCCTATGTGTGTGTGTGTAGACAGTCTGTGACCATGCATAAGGATTGACTGGCTGTATTGGCTTTCTGAGCCATGGCGCACACACACAAACAGGCATGCACACCCACGAACGCACTCTCTGTGCCTGCGGGTGAATTCCACCCCCTCTTCGTCTCTTGCGACCAAAAAACACCTCTTACACACACACACACACACACACACACACACACTCTCTCTCTCTCTCTCTCTCTCTCTCTCTCTCAGTTTTCTCTCATCCGGCGCAAGAGCCCGGCAGCCCGGGTGACGCGTTTTGCGCATTTCCTGCAGCTCGCGCTCACTCGCGGATTCAGGAGAGAGGGGACGGGAAACGGGGGTCGCGCGCAAGCACCGAAAGAGAAAAAACACCAACGGAGCGGAGCACCGTGATGTATTTGGGGAGCTCGTGAGAAAAAAGACTGCACTGAGGGGTGCAAAACAGGCATTTGCTTTCCGAGAATACGCGCAAATATCGCGGTACCGTGAGGTCGAAGCAAGGAGATTATCCCAGAGAAGAGCGAGCGAGCGGCTGGAAACGGAGCACCAATCCCGGATGGCTAGGCGCGGCTGCTCGCGCTCTCTCCCACCCTGAGCCGGGAGAGACACACAAGGACCGTGGGGAAGCTCTGGGGCTTAACGTGAACCTAACCGGAGCCTGTTAACCCGTCATCCTCCTCACGGCCGTTATATCGCCTGTTTCCGCCGAAACGGGAATCTTGTCTGGCGCACGGGACCGATCATAAACAAACAAGGCAGCCGCTCGGGAAGGGAGAGTGTTCAGTCAGCGACCTCTGAAGGGTGTGAGTCTGCGTTGTTACTGCGTTTTTCAGCCCATTAGGGATTCATCAGCAGTACTATTAGCGTGTGTGTCTGTGTGTGCGTGGATAATACAGTGTTGAGATATGGCTGTATTAGACTGAGAGTCCTAAGGAGCCAGCGGCATTATGGGATGTAGCAGGACTGTGCAGTGACCCCGCTCATTGAAAGGAAACAGTCTGTGTACAGGAGCAGGAACAGGCAGACTAGCCTAAACACACACTCATCCTTGTATCCACACAAAACACATCCCAGGAGCCATGCCTGTGTTCAGTGGCCTGTTGAAGGTGCGAGTGTGTGAGGCAGTGGACCTGAAGCCCACCCCATGGGCCCTGCGTCACGCTGTGGGGAAGAGTGGCTCCTTCCTGCTGGACCCTTATCTGGCCCTAAATCTGGACCAGACCCGGCTTGGCCAGACGGCCACCAGGACCAAGACGAACAGCCCCGCCTGGCACCAGGAGTTCTGCACGGAGGTCCGTGAGGGACGGAGCCTGGAGCTGTCCGTTTTCCACGATGCGCCCATCGGATATGATGACTTTGTGGCCAACTGCACCATCCAGCTGGAGGACCTACTGCAGAACGGAACCAGGCACTATGAAGACTGGGTATGTGTTTGATGTGTGACTGTTTCAGTCAATTACCCACAGAGCATTGGGGCAGAAGTCCTCAGTCCTGAAAGCCACAGGTTTCTTACATGTGCTCGTGCAGGTGAGCTTAATTTTGAAAACTAACCCCAGGCACTAAGACAAATAACCCCCCCCCCCCCATAGTTTCAGAAACACAGCCTCTGCAACAACTCTACTGTGGAATTGTATGCACATTATATTTAAATTTAACTGTACTTGTGCTTTCTTAAAGGCGTTGGGCTGAAAATGCCCAGTGTACATGGGTGGAATGGGTCAATTGTGTGTTTCTAGCCACAATATACATCATCAAAATGTATGCATAGCTCAGTCCGTAGGGACTTGGCTTGGGAACCGGAGGGTGGTAGCTGTAGAGGGGCCTGTTCACTTCCTAGGCACTGCTGATGTTGCCCCTACAGCAATGTGTGTAAAATAACAACAGAGTGAAAAAATTAAATTTTTCCAGGAGGGATTAATAAAGTATGCATCAATCAAAAAGACAAATTTGTTAATTTGCTTCCTCAGGAAAGTCATACATTTACACACATTCCTTCCTGAGTGCTTCCCAGCACATCTACCTGCATGGCACCTTTGGGGAGCTCAGGGCCTTACTCAAGAGAGGGAGTGCTCTGATCTGACTTCTTCTCTTCTGGTACAGATTCTCATCCCTCAACTCAGGGCACTTACTGATACTTAGTCTGATATTATTGCTCACCTTTCCCCTAATTTAAAATCTGTGCAACAGCACCTTCTTCACTACAATGAGTGCAACTTGAAACAGAAAATGAACAGAAAGCGAATTGTATAATGGCATTAATGAATGAAGAAACTGTAAACTTCTGGCTGATACCCAGTCCACTTAATAAGGTCAGTATCGGGGCAGATAACAATCTGGTGTATCCCTCCTCATTGGCACCTGTGTAGTTGTTTATAGCGTTCAGCCGTCCATTCACAAACATGCTCACCTTATCTTTAATCTAAAAGATATTCTCTTCAGACGTCAAACCTTTGCACAAACCCATGCATCTTGTATGCGTCAGATGTCTCTTCACTACTGATGAATCTAGGAGTAACAAAAGTGTAGGCTGCTTTAAGTCCCTACTGTCATCATCATCATCATCATCACCACCACCACCACTTTCTTTCACTTTCTTTGGCAGTGCAGCAGCATGTTAGTGAACTTTGAATTTAATTGCACACATCTGTTGTCAAGCTGTATGTGTATCTCCGCGCTGAGACGTCATGTAGTGCTTTTTTTTGCAGATTTCTCTCCTTTATCTCTGACAAGGGAGCTGTTTAGACTTGCATTAAATCTGGTTTGGGCATCTTAGGTCCAGCCTGTATTCATCCTTTCTCAATTCCTTGCATTCCTGCTGTCTCTTTGGACCGGAAGAAATTTGAGGTGCCCTTGTCTTTTCCCCTGTTGACTTATGTTTATAAAGCAAACACAACAATGCAGTGTTTCAGTGTCTTACAACACGTTTCTTCTCAGTGTATGTTGAGAGATACACATACTGTAACATGCTGTAAGACTCAAGTTCCTTTCATTTGTTACGGTTTCTTGTCATGTAATCTCTTTTGAGTTGGGCATGTGATGTTGGATGACCACATGTGGATCTGTACGTAAGGGCATAAAGACACATTTGTTCTAGGTCTGCAAGTTTTGTCTCCAGTTTTAACACGTGATCTCGTTCCACATTTACGCTTTGTTTTATGTCGTCTCACTTTATGTTTCATGAAAGGCTGATGAAGGTGATGTCAGGATAGGCATTCTAGGACCTGAGGACACACAGTTTAAATAACAGCATGTGCCATTTTGCTTTTAGCCAATTACTTACAAATTACACATACTTTACATTACTGCAGACCATTTTCCAAAGCATATTGTGAGTTATTACAATAATTGTGTGCCTTTCTACCTCCGGCAGCCATTGATTCCAGTTTATGCAACAAAATTAACATCAGTTGTCAACATCACTGTCAGAGACTTGAAACATTGTTTGAATTGTGACTTTAAACCATTACAGTGGATGTTTAGTTGTGACTATTATAGTAATATTACTGTTTATTAAATGGCATTTTTTTGGAGACTCTTTAATGCCATGAGTTTGTAATACAGACCCTGCTCTCAGCTGGATTAACATATGACCATGACGTAATGTAAAAAAGAGAGGCAACAAAATGTTCATTGTGGTGAATTACCAATCTCAAATTTGAAGAGGATGCTTGTTTTCATTCTGCAATACTAATAACAAAAATGTTATTGAAGCCATGTTAATGTAGAAAAGTATAGATGATTTGTAGTTGATTGACTAAAACCACTTCAAACCAAACAATACTGTTCATTAGGAGGGGTTAATTGATGTATAGTTCTAGTTCTTGTATATACTGTATATACTATATATAAATGTATACTATATCAGGACACACTGGCATATAAATAGGCACACACACACACCTCGTCCCTCAGCCATCCAGAGTAAGGTCAGAGTATATGGATCAGTCTGTTGATTGACCACATCCCATTGATCAGCCAGCTGGCTTGTCAATACATCTGCCTCACAGCGACACAGTGGCTCCCACCTCCGCTCTGTCCTCCTCCCTTCATCACTCCATTACTCACGACTTCTGCCTCCCGTGTCTCCCACATCCACCCCTCTCCAATAGCGTTTCCCCTCTCATCTTCCTCACATCCACCCCCCCCTCCTCCATTCATTTACCCATCATCTCCCTCTTCCTGCCTTGCTTGTGTACAGTTCACTCCACTTTCATCTACTGATACATTTACTTTCGCTCACTATTCAGTCTCCAGTAGGGAGGGAAGGATGTGAAGGTCAGACTCAACAGGGAGACTGTGTGAAGTATAATGTAGTAGTTAATTGGTTGTTCTCTTAAACGTTTTACTCATTTGTGTCATATACTAGTTTCCCACAGCACACTGTTTGTTTCAAAATAAAATCATTTGAGGATAAAAAGTGACCATTGCCCCTAAGAAATTATTGCTGGCATCAAACACTTTCAACTTTTTACCAACCAGTGTCCCCTTTGCAGGATGGTAGCACTATGTGGAACATTCACATACTGCTAATACTGTAACAGGTTGCATTAATATTAACATGTTACATATGTATTGACCAATCAGACCCTTGTATTTTCAACCATTGTGCTATGTTGTAGAAATGATCATCAATATAATAACTGTATAATAGTCATTTAACCGTTTAGTAGGGCTGGGCGGTATGGCCAAAAATGTTATCACAATAAAAACATTTCATACCATTCGATGTCGATAATTATCACGATAAATGTCATATCGTTATTTCTTTCAAACTTCAAGGCTGATTTTTGCTCCTGAGTGAACTTTGCAAAAACCAGATGATTAATTGTGGTTTTAAACTTTTCTTCATGGTCAAAACGTGACAAACAGTGGATCACTTCACAAATCTGAGGTAGAACATTCAAAACAATTATTAAAAAAATCTTTTCTAGTTTTTTCAGTCCCTTTGCCTCAACAAAATAAATATCGTAACAGAAAAATTAAGTGCTAATTGATTTGTGATTCAAATGAATTAAATCATAAACATTTATTGATATATATTGAACATTTGTTATATTGTTATTGAGGAAAATATATTGCGATAATTATCTTTTCTTTTATTGCCCATCCCTACTGTTAAGTCCACAAAATGTTACAAAGTAGAGGAAAATTCATCACTATCACGTTTTGGTTGCTTGTGTCCAATCAACTGTCCAAAACCCAAAGATATTGAATAAAAAGTGATATAAAACAGAGCAAAGCAGCAAATTCTCACATTTGAGAAGCTGGAAAAAGAGAATGTTTTGGTATTTTTGCCTGATAAATGAGGTTTATTGGACAAAACTTTTTTTGTCAATGAATTCTCTGTGGGTTGAATAACTGATGAATTATCTACTTGTTTCAGCTCTGATAATACACTTTATATATGTTTTAGCCATGCTAGCTCTGCCTATTGGTTGATCCATCACCGGCACGGATTATAATAATATTGATGATCCCCTAACTTTTCCTCTAGTGCCATTATCAGGACAAATTTTCTATTTGTCCAATTCGTTGGTTTATGTCGAAACAGCATTCCCATCAGTCTCAGCAGTACTCTGTGTTTAGTGCTAATGAAAAATGTTAGCATGATAAACTAAGATGGTGAAAAAGGTAAAAAAAAAAAAAAAAATACTAAACACCAGCATGTTAGCATTGTCATTGTGAGCAGGCTAGCATTTAGCTCAGTACAGCCTCACAGAGTCACTACTGGCATGGCTTTAGGCTCTTAGTCACACAGAGTTTACAAAGTGCTTTCCAAAAACCACAAGAATAAAAATAAAACCCTGCTGAACAGCATGACTGAAAGCAGATCAACAATAATAACAGAATCAAAACAACATTCCTCAATATGCCATAGCCTCGTACCTAATGGTAAACGTCCTGTCGTTCTGATGAACACTGAAGATTGTGTACCTCAACTCTGTCTTTCACACTTCCTCCGCCCTTCTGCTGCATCTCATCATCCCTTTCGTCTCAGCTCTGTTATCCCCATCCTCTCTGCTTCCTGTTCTCTTTTGTCTTCCACCACCTCTCCATGATACATCTCCTGTGGATCCGAGCGCTGTGGGCCAGGTTTCTGCTCTGTGCCGCCGGTGAAATATTAACCAAGCTTTGATGCTTATTAATTGTCCCACTCAGTAATTGAGATGCTCTGTGGAGCCCATCCCCATGGTGACAGCCTCTCACCCACAGAAACACCAGAGAGAGTGAGATGGGTAGGTGATAGTTGGGGGAGATGGGGAGGAGGGAGGAAGGGTGGAACGGGGGAAGAAGAAAGAAAAACAAAGTAGAACAGTGCCATGGTGCATTTTGAGAAGTCGAAATAATTTAAATTCAAGGCCTTTGAAGGTAGACAGACTTAAAAGGGTTCTTTGTGCTGCATGTACATTCTTTAAGGAAAATT